CAATTATCAAGTCCTGTCAATACTGTCCTCTTAATTTCCTATAGATCTGTCCTCTACTTTCCATCTGCATTATAACCACTGCTTCCCTTCAGACAACTGGCAAAGCTCACCTGAAATAGTGAATAACTCATAAATGGTCTCCATTCTTCTATTCTTCTCCTCCTCACCAATCAATTATATACACAACTACCATGGTGATCTTGTCACTTATTGAAAGTCCTCAAAATATTCGTCCATGTCTTCAAATTAAAACCCAAACTTATTGGCATGACCTGGAAGGCCCTTCCAGATGTGGTTCTTAGTAAATGGTTGCCAATCTTCCTGTTGGTTTTTCTCCCTCTGTTTCTGCTCACGTTGCCATGGAGGCATCCACACTCAGCTCCAACTACATGATACTTTTGCATTTGCTAGAATCTGCCATCACTTTCTTTTTTTTGTTAAAGTTTATCTATTTATTTTTAAGTAATCTCTACACCCAACATGGGGCTCAAACTCATGACCCCAGAGATCAAGAGTCACATGATCTTCCAACTGTGCAAGCCAGGTACCCCTGACTTTACTTTCTTGTATTAATTATTTGTACATGTTTATTGCTGCTGCTTTGGCTTTCACCTTACTCATTCACTCATGTTTTCATCCTTCAGTTAGATGTCAGCACATCTGGAGAGCCTTCCCTGATTTCCCCAAACAAGAATTAGATGTCTCTATGTGCTCCATAGCAACAGAACAGCCAGCACTAATTACTAGTGTGACCTATCACATTCCTGTGGTGACTGGATGGTCTGTTTTCCCCCATGTACTCTCCCTCCATGTGCCAATTAGACCATGAGAAGTTCAAATCATAGTAACTACTAAATAAATATTTGTTAAAAAAGACTTGAATAGAAGTTCTTCACACTGAGATGTTCTTATATAGCTAAACGATGCTATCAGAATAGATGTGGAATATGCTGTCTTTTTCTGTCTCCACAGATCTGTGCCTTGCAGAATCTATGAAGCTAAATGATGCTATCAGAATAGATGTGGAATATACTGTCTTTTTCTGCCTCCACAGATCTGTGCCTTGAAGTATCTATGAAGTGGGTAGCTTAACAAATATACAGTGCTTTTTATTTTTTTAAAACTTATTTTCTTTTTAAAAAAGTTTTTTTCAATGTTTTATTTATTTCTGAGAGAGAGGGAGACACAGAATCTGAAGCAGACTCCATGCTCTGAGCTAGCTGTCAGCACAGAGCCTGATGCAGGGTTCGAACCCATGAACCGTTAGATCATGATCTGAGCTGAAGTTGAATGTTCAACTGACTGAGTCACCCAGGCACCCCTTTAAAATTCATTTTCAAATAGCTTTTACAGGGTAAGTAGATATAATCACTGATAGTTTTGAGAATTTTGTCATAAAAATGATTTATGTAATATGCACATGGCTTTGTAGTTTTAGGCAACCCCTCCCTCATATTCTATGATTCCATCTATGTTCATTATTCACAAGAAAATTATCAATAAATTATTTTCTGTTAATAGAATCAGTCTTCACTCATGGGAATGAATCTTTTCTTTTATACATTTAAATATCAGCATAATCAATTAATGTACTAGAAATCAAAGATTTAAGAATTTTTTCCTATTAAAAAAGGGAAGAAACTAGAAAATATTCTCAAATGTATTTTTTAGAAAAAACAATTTAATCTAGAGAATCAGTCTTCTTCCTAATCCTCATTCTTGATACTTTCTACTCCATCAGCAATTATAGATCAGAAGATTTTTGGTGAGTACTCTGCTGTTAGTGTGGACCAAACTAGTCTATTGCTCTGATCTACACTAGATATTGACTAGAGGGCTTAAGAACACCAGTGAGTAAGGTGGAAAATTTTAATGTACAGAACCACGTTTAAAATTGTTTCTAAAAACCTAATGTCATTTTATGGTAGAATGAAAGCTTTCATACACACAGAGAGAAAAGGAGTTTATGAAATGGGATATTAAAAGAGCACAGTGAAAAAAAGAAACCAAGATAAAACAGTGAGAGTGGAAACTGTATTTTAACAGTAGGAAATGACATGACATGACATGAAAAAAAAAAAAGAACAAAAGCATAGAAAGACAAGTGGGAGAACTAAAAGTCAAAATTAATGACAAAAATTAAAAGTCTGCTTAAAGAAAAATGAAAAGAAAATATAAAGAAGAGCAAAAGGGTCTTTTGGTTACAAACTGAAATTTCAGTGCCCAATACTAGTTAATTCTAAGAATGTCAGGATAGTAGTTTTTATATCGTATTATTTTTAGAATTTTTCTAAATTTAGAAGTGCAAGATTCTTCACTTTGACATTGTAAAGGCAAAAGGAACATCAGTGTATCATTAACGGTGTGGTCATCAACTGACCTGGCTTGGCACATTAGGAGACTTTGTACCATTTGTATCCTTAACAGCTGGGCTACAGCAGCATTAGCTGAACAGGATTTTACTTATTTCTTTAATTTTTTTTTCTTTATAGTGCACTTGCTTCCTCCTAAATTGTTATCTGGGCACTTGGAAGCCACATTAAGACACACAATAAAGTAAGGATGCACAGGCTTTTTAAAAAGTATAATGCTGTTGTTTTACCCACTAACCTCCAGTTTCTCAGCAGTCTTAACACTCAATAGCTAATTTTTTCTTTCTTAGTGCCTTTGAGTCCATGACTGATATTAAATATTTTGGATTTATGCCAAATACATAAAGGCAGGCTATATAATAAAAATATTAACCTGGAGTATTAATAAAATAAAATTCATAGAGTTATCATAATGGCAGGCCCCACCTGCCACAAACTAAGAACATAGTGATATAATTTTCTCATTTGGCAAAGTGATTGCCAAAGTTCATGCCAAAGAAACATAAACAAATGCATAATCCTGGAGCTACAGCAAATGTGAAAAAATATTAATTTTCCAGGTTTTAAAAGTTTTTAGTGCATCTCAACACAGATTTGCTGAGATTTTGCTAATTTGAAAGTACTGTGCTGGAAAGGTAAGCCAGAGGTAGGGGAGCCGGACAGACTATATAAGTACAAAAAGTAAAATACTCAGAAGGGGTCTGAAGTGTTCAAAGGAAGAAGGCACCATGATCTGCTGGAAGAATCAGGAAATCTCATAGAGGATGTGTCATTTGAGCTGGGTCTGCAAGAGTGGGGAGGATTTTGAAAACTGACACATGGGGTATGACCATTTCATTTCCACTGTGATTCCTCAGCGTTAGGTACTCATCCTCTGTTATCGGAGATTATCTTTTTGCTGATTTCTTCTCGCATTCCAACTTTGTGTCGACACCCTCCACTACATGACCTCATTGAGAATAATCATTCCCTATTAACGACTGTCTCCTTAATAAACCAAACACCTGTTTTTAAAATCACTTTTACCTTCCTCTTACCATTCTCTCTGCTCGCTTCACTGCTTTCTTCCCTTACCTTAAGCAGGCTGCAAAGGAGGTTTGGTTCACTTTCAACGTCTTCCTGGACCCCTCCATGAATAAGTGCGTTCTCTCTCTGAAATTTCCAAATCTCTTTTTACGCTGTTTGATTACTGTGTCTCCTACTGTATCACTCCATCTATAAGCTTGTTCCTCCAAGCAAAGCATGACATTCTTGAGGGCACCGGGGATGGGTCTTCTCTGTGTCTTCAGGCCCAGCGCGTCTCAGGTGGTTAGGTACTAAGTGCCTGTACGGACCCTAATGAAATCAGTGCTAGGCGGAAGAACTGTATGCAGACTTAGGGCTTGTGCAGGAAGGTTCTCAGAAGCAGCGGCTGAGACTGAAAAACCAACTCTGGACCCTCGGGTGGCCTTCTTCGTCTGACTGTGGCCCCCACTAAGAGGGCCACTCCAAAGGCAAGGCCATGCAGCCTGGAAGCCCACAGCGCAACAAGCAGCAGCAACAGTAATGTAACTGCCACTGCTAGCAACGTAATCCTCCATGCGTTTCGATGTGCTTTCCCAGCCACCATCTGAATGTTTCTCTTCAGCGGCCTAAAGTGGCCCTACATCCTTTTCCAGAATCCGGGAAATACCTTTCTTTCTTTCAGACCGTGAGAGAAAAAAAAAAAAAAAAAAAAAGAAAGAAAGAAAAGAAAAGAAAAAGGACTTTCCTGAGACTGAGAGCGGGGATTCCCTCTCCACGAACGTACACTTTCCACCCCGCTGAGGAGCGGAAGGCGAGCCCGGCGAAGGCGCGTGGGGCACCTGGGAACACTCCCCACCTCCTGCGGCCCCCGCCTCCCCGAGAAGGGTCTGGAGCCCGGGAATCCTCTAATTAGGCTCGCCCCCATTGGTCGTCCCCACGGCACCTCCGTGCCGTCACGGTGTTATGCTAATGAGGGGGAGTCTCATTGGCTCGGCCCGCGGCGGCAGCTGCGACGGCTCCGGCGGGGAGAGCCGGGTTGGCCGCTGCTGGGACCAGATGCGCGGTGCCCCTCTCGCCGGCTCCGGGCTCTGCCGCGTGCACGCCCGCGCGGCGACCCGCTGCGGGGATTGCCCTTAGAGGAGGCTCCTCGACCCGCCTTTTAGGAAAGTGCCTCCTCAGCTTGCTGCGCGCACGCCCCCTCCCCTCTTTCTAGGCACCGCGCGTGTTCTTTTTTTTTCTTTTTTTTCTCTTTCTTTCTTTTTTTTTTTTTTCCGCGAAGTAACTTTTGCATTCCCGCCTCCCCCGAGTCCTGGGGACCAGAGGCGGTGCCGAGCCTGGGGGCGGTCCCTTGGCAGCGTAGATTCTTGTCAGAGCCAGACTTTTGCTCCTGGGCTCGGTTTGCATCATCCCCATCACACCCTCAGGAGAGAGGATCCAGCCCCCTTTCAGCCTCAGCTTCCGGCTCGGAGCGGACCCCTCCCCCTCCCAGACCCTCTCCCCTTCCCCGTCCCTCTCCGGACCACCGCATCTTGTTAGTCCTCTCCCTCCACTCCGCAGAATTTTCTTTTTCTCTCCCTCCTCTCCTCTGTTCGTCGTTTTCTGTTTCCCACTCTTTGAGGAAGGATGGTTGATTTGGAGAGCGAAGTGCCTCCTCTGCCTCCCAGGTACAGGTTTCGGGATCTGCTGCTAGGGGACCAAGGATGGCAGAACGACGACAGGTAAGTGATGCTGTGCAGTCTTGCTCTGTCAATACAGCTGAACAAGGGACCGAGATGGGGAGGCTAAAGAAGGAAAAGGAGACAAGAAAAAGGGAGCCAGAGACTGGGGGAGGGAGGGAAAGGGACTCTGATACGTCTCTCCATTTTGACTGTGTAGAGCAATTGCTATGGATAAGGGACTCTTTTCCTTTTCACTTTCTTATCCTTGCGATGTATTTATTGCATTTATTTGGTACTTCTTCTTTTGTCTGTCTGTGCTTCCCTAGGGCGTGTATAAGGATGCTCCTAAAGGTACGATACATCCAAATGGCACGCATTATCAGTGCCGTAGAATTTTCATGTTTTCCTTTTGGGTGTTCCTCAAATTCGAAAATGTATTCAAGGTAATTGAAAAGGCACATAAGAAACTTAAAATCTCTTGCACCTGTTTACTTACTCCTTGTCAGTGTTGTCTCGTGAAGGTGTTCACCTGCTACAGGGAATTTTATACTCTTTGAACATCTGGAGTTGTAGGTAGACAATTGGTTTAAATATGTAACAGGTAGTTAGGGAAAATGACGTTTTCAAGGGAAAACGTTTCACTTTGAACAGGTAACTGTGACTATGATTAATAATGGTATTTGTATGATATGATCCAACCTTTTCATAGTGTATTTTTAGCCTAACTAGTATAGATGTCACAAGATTAAAACTAAGTTTCAAAACTAGAATATTCATTATCAGCAAAATATTGCTCATGTGTATTATGTAGAGCATCACTGCTTTGCCTAGTCAAACTTCTGAAATTCTTCCGGTTGTCTGATTCATTATTTGAAAGACATGTTTTATGTTTCATTGAATTTAGTATTTTCTGGGAAGTCATTTCATGTATCACATGCCATATGTTTTTGTTTTTAAATAATCTATGTATACTAACAAGGCTCTCAACTCAATTGAAATATTTCCTTGAAGTTTGGTATTAATATTCTGTTTTAATTTAAAAGGTCCATTACTGGTCCTATTCAAAATCTCCTCCACATTCAGCACTGGGTTTATTCACACCGTTTCAGCTTTCAATACCAACCCCTGTCTGTGTGCACAGGGCAAAATCTTGGGCATCGATTTTGAACTTTTTCTTTGGTCTCATATTAGTAACATAAAGGGATAAGGATGTTTCTCAGAGGGTAATATTTCAATGCAGTCTATTTTTTAAGGTAAAACATATGTATATATATATATTATATTTGTTAGAAATTAAAAGAACACATGCCAGTTTACTAGTATGCTTGGAAAGTGAGGTGCTCTGGTTGACTGAGGTAAGGACATGAATATTTAAATAAATTGCAGTTTTAGTTGACTTTTAGAAGATAAACTGTGTCAGCCTAGTTTAAATGGCTGATCACATGCACCATTGTGCTTATAGTGATTGAATCTGTATTTGTTACTTGAGGACCTTAGGATCATCATGTAGAATAGAAACCCTCATTGTGGAAAGTGTGAGATGGACTGAATCTCATAGAGAATATATTTTAGATTAGGTGGTGAGAGTGTTGTTTGTTTTTTAATGTTGTATCCAAGATAGTAATTATTCATGTGGCTCTCCTCATTTTACTAATGATGCTGAAGATATATTTCAGTAATTAATAATTTTGGCTAGTTGAATACTACCCTAGTAAGTCACTGCTATGTTAAAAAAGTTTTACACATTTAGTTAAAGTATCTCTTATAATCAAAGCTTCTGCTAAGTTTAGCTTACAATCTGGGTCATATTTGCTATTTAAATGAGGTATTAAGCATTAAGAAAATTGTTCATTTATTTGACTGGTTTTGTGGCTTCATGAAAACTTAATATTTAATTTTGGTTCCATTTGTTGTCCGTCTTTGAAGACAAGATCCTTGGATTAATAGTGACTCAGCCTTCAATCCTTTGTGCATTTCTTTACTAGCTGAGTTGCCTTGGGCAAGTCATTCAGCAATTAGGGGATTCAATAATTTCTGTAAGGGACAAAACTAACACTTAGTTGGCACTAAGTACTGGCTTGTGTTATATGTTAGCTACATCAATGGTGTGTGTGTGTATGTATTTTAGAGACTAGGACACTAAGTTTATGGGCAATTAAATACTTGTCTTGGTAATATATCTTATAAATGAAGACTGGGGCTCTATTCTTTATGACTGAGATTCCTCAAGAAGCTCCAAAATTCTTTCCATTTAAACTTATTTGTCTGAAATTGTATGAATAATTTGACATCATGTAGCACAGTTTAGGTGCTCATTAAATGTTAGTTACTTTCTTCACTTCTGATTTGCAGTTTTCAATTATTTTTTTATTTTTCTGCACAATCCTAAATCAGTATGCAGTAAGTAAGGTCATCTTTTTGTTTAATGTTTATTTATTTCTAGGAGAGAGAGAGAGAGAGACAGTGCGAGCAGGGGAGGGTCAGAGAGAGAGAGGGAGTCACAGACTGAAACAGGCTCTAGGCTCTGAGCTGGCTGTCAGCACAGAGCCCGACGCGGGGCTCGAACTCACGAACCGCGAGATCTTGACCTAAGTGAAAGTCTTAACCGACTAAGCCACCCGGGCGCCCCAATAAGGTCATCTTTTTTGTCTTTCAAATTTCTCTTTGCAATTGAGTCTGAGTAGCCTTCTTGTTTGATTCACTTATCATGTACTCAATTCCTGAGTACATGAGCTGAGGATAAAGGTCCCTTTTATATAAGAATAGTTAGATGATTTATACCAATGGATATGTTTAGTGTTTTGTCCATATTCTCTAGGCCAATTTTTATGAATAGTCTCTGCCTGAGGTTTTTTGTTTGCTTTCTACCCCTGGTCTCAGAAGCTCCCTAGGTCTTGGAGAACAAGCTAGAAGTGCCACTGAGTAAATAAAGAATTGTTAGATAAATACTTCAGCTTTCTAACTCCTTGGTTGGGATAATTCTAAAGCATGTTCTACACTGTGTCCAATGGGACTGAGCTCCAGTTGCCCACAGTGGTAATTGGTTTGAGTTTACAAGTTTTATTGGCTTTCTTTCCTCCTCTCCCCTACTGAGGAGACCAGTTCTGGGATCTGTTCCCAAATAAACTATTATGCTCCAATCCTTATCTCAAGGTATGCTGCTGGGGGAATCTGAACCAACGTGGGTATCTTTTCCATCTAGAGTCACATCCTAGAAATGGTGGAGGAATTAGCTGATGGGAAAGTAGACACTTTCCACATTTCTCTTCATGTTAAGAATTTTAAATTAAGTGTTAGTAGGGCATGATTGATTGGAATGTGAAAATGAGTAAAGCATATGATAAATATGTGAAAGAGTGTGGTGAAAGAGAATTTTGGTGGTTTCTACACCATAGATTTTCTGTGAACTAACCTTGGATAGTTCACTTAAATTTATACTGTACCACCTTTTGGTAGGGAAATATACACATGCTTAAGTGCATATGTAATGTACATGAGACATGTATATGTGTATCTGTATATATCTACATATGAAATAGGTATAGACTTTGTGTATGTGTGTGTGTGTATCATTGTCATCTTTATATAATTACTTCTCCTTGAATTGCATTCTGATAACCTTTTCTAACTAGGACATAAAAGAATAGAATTAGACATAGTATTGTAAACAACTGCACATTTATTTATTTAAAAGATTTTTAATGTTTTATTTGATTCTGAGAGAGAAAGAGAGAGAGACACTGTGAGCAGGGGAGGGTCAGAGAGAGAGGGAGATACAGAATCTGAAGCAGGCTCCAGGCTCTGGGCTAGCTGTCAGCTCAGAGCCCGACATGGGGCTTGAACCCACGAACCGTGAGATCATGACCTGAGCCAAAGTCGGACGCTTAACTTGACTGAGCCACCCAGGCACCCCATAACTGCACATTTAGCCCATGAATGACATAAGACTCTGAGGCCATGAAATAAGTTTGAGAGTTGCTAAATTAGAATATTGCTAAAGCCTAGAGATGTCTGTTGCATGCATCCTGAGTAAAATACAAAAATCTAATTCAGGTGGTCCATATAATATTTCTTCAGTGGTCACTTATCCATTCAGCTAACATATGACTACATGCTGCATCTCAGGGCCTTATTAAGTTAGGTTGTAGGAAGAATATAAGGAGGAATATGAAACAGTCCTTGATCAGGTGTTCACAGATATAATTAGAGATAAGTTTTCCTCCCCCAAATATTCACAGTATTGTTTATGTTATGATGATGTTTTTGAAGAATTTCAATTTTGAGACTGTCAAGAAGATCATGTACCCTTTGTAGATAGGATATTCAGTGTTGTTTGCAAATAAAGTCACTATATTACAATGCCTCAAAGTGTTCAATATTATTTGTATCTAATAGGACACTTAGTGTCTTCAGAGTTATTCTGTGATTAAAACTAATATGACTAGAGACAGAATTTAACTGGTTTTATATGGAAGCCATTATGCAATATGTAGAATTGTAGCAGTGTTATAATCAATTGTTTTCTGTTTTAATATTTCTATGATTCATAAAACAGTAAAGATTTAGAATGTTCTTTTACAGTTAAGGACTGATAATTTTCACGTTTTAAATGGTTCAAGACAAAACAAGCCTTTCTCATCTTCATCATGACTTAATAATTTTAAAATTTGGAACACTATGCACTTGATGTGGATCAATTGTCATAACTGTTGATAAATTACTGTTAATGGACAATTCTCAGTTGCAGTCATACAGGAGTAGGGCTTTTATTTAATTAACTCTATTCAGTTTTCAAATATCTGATCAGTTGTTTCAACTCCAGTAATTTTAAGTGTAACTTTCATGTTTCATAGGTGGCATTTAAAAGTGATGTAAGCAAGTCATCTAATATATTGTAGTAATTGAAAACATAAAAGGATTTGAACAAAGAGTGCAATCGAATCAATTAATAGTTTAAGAAGTATTTATAAAATGATGAAAATGTTTGGCTAGGTTTTGGAGTATGTGTAATTTTAAATATCATACAATGCAAGTATATTGCTTTATATGATAAAATTAAA